AAACCAGTTTTTCTGAAAACCCCTTGTATACAATATAAATCTTGTATAAATCATTATAGAAAGAAAATCTTAATCTTTTGATATCAGAAAAATATGAGTTTCTAAACTTACTATCCCATAGATTCTTGATAGATTGAAGAAGATAATCTCTTTCTTACTTTAACAAAGAGAGAATTTTCTTTACTTAAGATCTCTATTCTTAATTCTAAGAAAAGATATAGTGAGGGCAAGAAGCTGAAATAGCAGAATTCCCATTGAGGCAAGAGGCCGTTTAAGGGAGCAGTTTGCAGATTCAGAGCTTGAAGGTCACTCGGTTCTAAGAATACAGATTTAAGATCAAAAGTAAGGTAAAATTATTGTCTTTGTTAAATTTAGAAAGAATTCTTCTAATATCTTGAAAGAATTGTAGGGATTATTATTGTTCATGTTTGCAAAAAACTCGTCTAAATATGTTATTATTCATAAAGTTTGCAAGGAATTATTTGAATAATGCCAGGTTATACAATTAAAGGATTAGATAATCTGTTAGATAGATTAATGGGAAAAATAGAAAATATTTATTCTCAATTAGAGATTATGGATATATTATCGAAGGAATTTGATAATCTTAGTAAATTACATGATAATTATATTACAGATTATGCTAATTTATTAGATCAAAGGATGAAATTATATATTAAAACTCGAAATGAAAGAAATAGAGGAATTTAAAACTATCCCAATAAATTAAGGATATCTTGTGCAATATATGATAAATTATCTCATTAAGGGTATAATAGACATTTTATCAAAAATGAATAGTAGCAGGTCATTTATAATAATACCCCCTTATTTATTTATCTTGAGCCCATCTCCATATCAGCAATAGTCCGTGTTCAAATTAACAAAAAACAAAAAATGTTAAAACCCAGCTCAAACCCCAAACTTAAATAAGTCTCTCTCAATCTCTCTCACAATATCTACTCCCTGTTTCTTTTACAGTCGCCGGAACACCAGATGCACCGTACTAGCTCTCAATTTTTTTAGATAGGTTCAATTTCAAGAAATTTGCTTCTCCATTGTTTCAAGGTAGGCTATAAGCTTTATCTCTGAGTTTGATTTATATGGGATTGGTTATTTGGATTTTTTTTTCATGTAAAATTTAGCCAAATTGGATATTGACTTTCTGTTTACATATTTATAAATTTTTACCCAGTTCTTACTAATTTTTACTCAAATACCCACGGGCGGAGCCATTCCTTGGGAATGTGGAAATTTTCGTAGGCTGAATTTTTTTGGCCGTTATTGAGGAAATGGGTGTTGATATGGTTGATAAATTGAAACCAAGCATTTCAGAGATAAGAGTATTTCATACAAATCCAGTGCAAACCATGTTATAGAATGGTAAATTTTGCCCTCAATCTTCCACATTTAATAGAGTTTCATTTCACTGCTTGATTTGTTTAGTACAATTTGGGTTCTGATAATTGTGCATTTGACGTGAAAATCCATTGTTAATCTAATACCGTTATGATTTTTATTTTTTTTGTTGGATTTCACATTTTAATGGTTTTGAATTCTGAAAAGTAGAAATTTGGACTTATGTATTCTTTTATATATCATATCCCGCTTTTCATTTGAATTTTCTGAGCAGAACAAATTATGATATATATATATATATGAAATTGGCAAAAATATAAAGGAGCAGATAATATAACTTGTTATTTATGTAATTGGTACCCAGTAAGACAGTTTAGAGCTAAATGTTTAGAATGTTATAAAGAAGCATGCATAAAATGTTTAGAAGAAAAGAACCTTATTGAAAAAGAAGAAGTTAACTCAGAAATTTTAAAAGAAAGAATTGAAATATCAGAAATAAAAATTCGGGGGAGGGGGGGTATGCTATTTTAATAGGCTGTTTTAATAGAATTTGTAGGTATAATAGTGGAAATTATAAAGAGAAAGGAAATTTAAGTAGCATAAATGCAGAATTATTAGCTATAAACTATGCATTAGATAGTTTTGAACTATTTATTATATCTAAGAAAGAAATAACAAATACATGAATTAATATAGAATGAAAATAGAAACAAAAAGAAGTAGCAGAAGAAGGTGGTTAAACTTTATAGATAGAATTACAAATACAGGAATTAATATAGAATTTGAGCATATTAAAGGTAGTGATAATAAAGCGGCAGATATACTTAGTAGAATAATAATAGATATAAATTACTAAATTTGTTTAACATAATTTTGTTATACAGAGGATAAGACCAAGGCCATTAAGACCAGGAATTCCACCTGGGAATGCATTTGCATCAAGTTCTTTACCACAGACTCCATTTAATCAGAACAGACCAATGATACAAGACATGTTAAAGTTTGGAAACCAAGAACTTATAGTTTTTTCAAATAGTAATATTTTTTTTAAAATTTTATCGCATATTTCTTTATCTAGAGAAGAAAAATGTATTTTAGATAATTTATGAATTTCATATAATGAGAATCCAAAAGATCAAAAATATTTTCTTGCATGCATGAATGTATTGTCAGAACAAGCAAAGATTTAAATTCTATGTTGTTATTAAAGGTAAAAATTCAGGAATTTTCCATTTTTGGATAGAAGTTTTAGATTGTATTAAAAACTTTCCAGATCCTCTTTATAAAGGTTTTACAATTTTTCAAGAAGCATTAGATGCAGCAAGACAGCATATAGAAATAAATTTTTATTTATCTCCTTCTTTAAAAAATTACTCTGACCCTCCATTAAACTTTTCTCCAAGTAAAGATCAGAATATTTTTTGCCAATACTATGAGTGTATGCAAAGAAATTACAAAGTTATTAATGAAGCCAACCAGAACCTTTCACTAGAAAGAACCCAACTCCAAAAGAAAGTGGCCCAACTTAAAAAGGAGATTTTGGATTTAAAAATCCAATATTCAACAGGTACTATGGAGCCCAAGAAGTCCATAGCTAGTCCAACTCAAACGGTAGCTGGTAAAGATTTATCAAATCCGTTAAAAGTTGTGGACTTACCAAAAGCCCAACAGACTCAGGGGACTGTTGATTCTTCTACTAAATCAGATAATCAGACTCAGCAGACTGATAAATCTGCTACAGATAAAGGTAAAGAGATTTGGGATCTTTTAGGACAGCCCAGTGGAAAATTTGATTACTTAGTTAAATATAGTCCATCAGAATATTTTTCATCAGAATATTTTCAAACAACCCAGACTTTTCACAAGCCTAAGAAATTCAGTCTAATAAAGGAAAAGAAAAAATGGTGGTCCAACATAGTCAAGACTGCTTATTTCTTCAAGAAGCACAAGACCCCAATCCAGACACTGTTTCTTTAGAAAAGATTTTTGAAAAAATTGAAAAATTTCAGAAGCAATCTAAAAAAGATGAAGGAACTTCTTCCAAAAAAAGAAAAAGATTAAGAAGAAGAAAAATAATGAAAGATTAAAAGAACAAATTAGAGAAGCGGTGAATCAAGCATTTGAGACAATTTTAAAAAAGAATCATGGAAAAGAGAAAAAATTGTAGAATATCCAGATCAAAAAAAAAAAGATGAAGCCAGTAATTCCAGACTTTCAGATGAAGACGAAGATCCACAAAATAAAGGATACAATAATTTAGACAGTGGAATGTCATTTTCATCAGCGGCACGCCATAATCTTGATACATGATAAAGATTTCCAATAATGCAGAACAAGACATGTGCCAGCAGAAAAGAAGAAAAGATGAAAGATTCTCTCAAAGTGGCGATAAAAGTTCACTATTCAACTTTAGACTTTTTCTCTTTTATTGATAGAATTCTTAGACTTTTTTGTAAAGTTGGTAGAAATCTTGTAAAAGAAAGATTTCCCACTGTAGACCTTTTGAATTCTTAGCAAAAGACGTAGGAACTTTTGAAATTTTCCTTGCCACTTGTTAGATTTTAGAATGACCAGAAGTTTTTCGGTGAAACGTGTGCCTTTCTCAAGGATAATTTAGACTTTTTGCTCCCAAAAATTTTTCTATTTAAGGAATGAGTTTCATTCGGTTTAGGCAGAAGTTTACAACCTGTGTACTCTCTGCTATCCAAAAAACTTTGAAACCTTTCTTTCAGAAAAATTCTCAATCCAAAAAATATTGTATAGCTGAAACACTGTTGTGAAGATTTTAAGGTATTCTTGTACTCTTATTTTCCTAAGTTTATTTAAGAACTCTAGGGACTTCCCGAAAGGGAAATCCTTAATTGTTAATCTTTTCAAAGATGAATTTATAAATCCCTGATTTATGCTTTATTCTTTTATGCTTATGTTTTTGTATGTTCATGTTTTTGTTAAATATTTGTTATATCATTTCATCTTATGCATATAATAAAAGTATAACTTGATTTCTAGAAGTCATACTGTTTTTAGGTTAATCCTGAGTGACCCAGATAGGTGAAAACTTTTGGCCAGAGTGAGCCTTTTGATGTTTTCCAAAGATGTTGGGGAAAGGGAAAATTTAATCTAAGAATTTTATAAGGGAGTGCCACGGGTAATCTTAGAGAAATGAATCAGGTTCAAGTTTATATGTCATAGGTGGTGAAAATTCAAATAAAAAAAAGGGATTTATATATGATTTTGAAGAAAGATTTATAGAAAACTAAGGAGAGTACTGAGTAGGATTAAAGTTATTAAAAGTTAAAAGTTTAAACAAAACAGCCTATTAAAACAGCATACCCCCCCATTTGGTATCAGTCTGCTGAGTCTGATTATCTGATTTAGTAGAAGAATCAACAGTCCCCTGAGTCTGTTGGGCTTTTGGTAAGTCCATAACCTTTAACGGATTTGATAAGTCTTTATCAGTTACCGTTTGAGCTGGACTAACTATGAACTTCTTGGGCTCCATAGTACCTGTTGAATATTATACTTTTAAATTCAAAATCTTTGGGAAGCATTTAAATTAGAAAAGAAACAAGAATTTGAACAATTAATTAATATGGGAAGCAATCCTTATAACTTTTGTTAATAAAATACAAATATTAATAACAGGAGCAGACCCAAATTCAGGACATATGAGTATACGAAGAAAAGCTAAATTATGTTAGACCATTTATAAAAGATTTGGGAAAAATAGCAGGCCCCTTATATGCAAAGATATCTCCTACATGACAAAAATTCTTTAATCAAGAAGACATAAAATTAATTCAACAAATATATATATATATATATATATATATATTGACTTTCTTAAGTTTCAGGCCCTCTTATCAAAAATCTTGGATCCACCCCTGTTGGGTTAACATTCTTATGGTCAACCAAACCTGTACATGTTATTTGAACCTGCTCATGTCAATTTTGAGTCAAATCCTCCGTCCGTTAGAATAGGTTGAATATGGTTAATTTATTACTAATTATTTGTGTGGCATTTTCTTCTTAGATTCGCTCCATGTTTCTAAGAATGAATAAGGATTCATATCATCCCGAACCCACTGGTCGCAAAGAAAAAAACGTAGATGAAGCCCTGCATGAGGTTCTCAAGGTAAACCCCTATAAATAGGGCTTGAGGGCGAAGGTCTTGTCTCTCACTTTCATTCTCTATATTCTCAACTCCGATAGGTACAAATTTCTCTCTTTATAAAATAGATTGATTCTTATACTGGATGGAAAATCGAGAGAGTTCTTTTCTGGTCACAATAGCATAGGTGAAGCACTTTCGACACCACAATTTCATAGTTAACGTAATTTCTACTAACCAAGATTTGATCGGACCGGCCTGTTTGATAGAAAAATCGAGAACTAGTCCAATTATATATAAAAGTCATAAAATGAGAAATAACTAAGGGGGGTGTATTTAATCGAGACTTTTAAAGACTTTTAGAAATTTAAAAAGTTTGGGTGTATTTAATTGAAATTTTTAGAGACTCTCTAAAAGTTTGGGTGTATTCAATAGAGACTTTTATAGACTTTTAAAAAGTCTCCAGAAGTTACGGGGTATTCAATTGAAATTTTTTAGAAGTCTCTACAAGTTTTGGGGTATTCAATTTAGAGGGACTTTCAGGGAATTTAAAATTTCTTGGACTTTTTGAGACTTTTTAATAGAAAATATAAATAGGATTTTTCTCCCAAAATCTCTCATCCATAGAGAGATTTCTAAAAAGAGTATGCTATTCTTATTTCCCTCTAGGTTTTTCCTCTATCTCTTCCAATTAGGTATTTCTTTGAATCTTTGCTATGAGTTTTCTTCAAATCAGGTTATGGTAAATTTTCACTAGTTGATCTCTATCTCTCCCTCTAATTTCAAAGATTCGTTTTTAAGTGAATGTTGTGAATTCTCATAAATATTTCTCGATATCTCACATTTAACACTGTGAGAAGCATATTTCCTTAATTTAAAAAAAAATTCCTCAAAAGTCTTTAGTAAAAGTCTCCACGAATCCAGGAAAAACTTTTACTAATTCCTACCAAATCCATAGAAATTACTTAAAATTTCACAGAGTCCACAAAAGTCACCCACTTAAAAAAGTCTCCAAAAATCTTTAAAAATTCCAGTTGAATACACCTCCCTAAAGCAAGTCAATAAATACATGATTTATCTCAAATATATTTCTTTGTACTTTTTAATTATTTTACCATTAGTTCGACTTGAATTGTACATTTGACCCTTTACTTTTTACTTTTGGAATTGTTTGATTTAGATTCTTTAGAAGAGATGTGATGAAAAATGACATTTTTAAAGAATGTGTGGTTAAATAAGTATGAAAAATTATGAATTAATTTGTAAATTTTTGTGTGAATAAACTTGTAAAAAATGAATTTTAAGAAATATGTACTAAAATGTATCTCAAATCGATTTTCAAAATATTATTCTTCTCGTTTTGTTGGTGGTCTTTGACTCTTTGGCCATAGAAGTCAAAGGTATTGCGCATAATACAGCAAATACCAAACAGTATTCTAGGATAAGAATTAAGCCCCCGCTTGGCCTCCATTAAATTATATTTCATTTTTCTCTCTCCTATTTTCAATCACACAATCTTCCATAAAATAATATTGCACGTAAATTGAAAAATTTTCCTTCTTTTTTCAATCATTTATTATTTAATTTTATTTTAAAAAAAAAGAAATATTCCACTTATTTTCATTTCAAAAAATAGGGGCAAACAAGGGCTAAGACCCCTCTGCATAATAGCTACTAAAAGAATTAAGACCCGGCTGGTCATAGTCTGTAGTCGATTTTTTAATAAGTACATTTATGAAAAGAGTTTTTTTTTTCAAGGGAAAAAAAAAAAGAATAGGGTTTACAAATGACGTAATGTTTGGATAATATTTATAAATTATTTATAATCGATTAAATAACTTTTTATTCACATAATATCTTCTTATCTTTAACTCATTCTATATAAATATTTTATTTTTTGCATTGTCTCTTAAATAATTGTTAAAATATGGAGCACAAGGACCTAGGAATTGCAACCGTCTAAAAATCTGTTAGTTCGACAAAATAAAATAATATAACTATATGAGAACATTAGGCATTAGCACGTATACAAGGATTAATGATCAATTGTCACGATCTATAAGCAAGCATCGAAGGTTTCATGTAGACGAGTAATGTTATTCAATAACAGTGCCAATCGAAGGCATTTTCCACGTATATATTGTCATACAGATCTACCCAACACAAGGCAAATCTATATTAACTTTGGAAGTTTTAGAAAATTAATTATATAATCCTGTATGGTGATGCTAATAAACTAATAATAATTGTACAGTTTTGTTAAATATATCATATTTCATTTGCAATTGATTTGCACTTATGTTCTCAATATATTTTATCATATTTTCATCTTCGATCTTCTTTTAGTTAGCACGTTTTGTTCTTAATGATGCATCTAACCCTATTTTAAGTAGGAGGTTCATTAATGTGTATTTGATAGTAAAAGGCAACAATAGATCGTGCTAATTGCTAAAAGAATTAAGGCCCTATTTGATAGGGCATATTTTCCACCTTTTGGCCTGTTTGATTACAATAATTTTCTAGAGAATTCATTTTCCTTCCTCCCCCCACACATGTGCAATTTCCTTAGTTTCGTGGGCAGGTTTTTTTCTAAATTTTATTTTTTGGCAATTGGAACAAATTCTATGCCCAATAGTAACAAATTTTGTCCATTTATAATCGACAATTTTCATAAAAAACAAAGCTATACAAACATCAAAAAATAAAAAATTTCAACATTTTTCGGGTGGAAAATTATACTAATCAAACACATTAATTGACAATTCCCAGAAAAACAAGTTCTAGACAATTCAATTCCCTAAAATTAGTTTTCTTTTTACCCAAATTTCATTCTTACAATCAAATAGACCCTAAATTCCTAAATCCTACTGTGAAAACCAAACCGCGTAATTACTAATCTACAAACAAAACAAAGCAAAAAGGAATTAACAATAAAAACAAGACACAAAATTATGAGCCTGTTTGACAATCATTATTGTAGGAAAAAAATAGTTTTGAATGGTGATTTTTAGGATAATATATGGTTAAAAAGTAAGAAAAGTTTTTGGTATACATGTAGAATATTTTGTAGTGTAAATGTCTAGTTGAAAATGATTTTACAGCAAACCATAAAATAAATTAATGTTTATTGAACTATATTGCTTCTCAATTGTCTAAGACTCAGTATTAGTAAATTTTATCCAAAATTGAAGTTGAAAATCGAAATGGTAAAGATCTTAAATAACGGATAAGCATGGGCAATGTGTAATATTGAAAATGATTAATTTGCAGAAAGAAGAAAAACAAATCAAATTGATCTCGTTTTGGAATGGGGGTTTTATTTAAAAGTCTAGCCAAATCAAATATTAGTTTACAAAGTCTTAACAACTATGTATAATTAGAAGACCTAAGGATATAAAAAATAAAAAATGCAATTTGTAAAGAACTAAAATGTTCTTGTATACGAAAAGATATGATTGCCCAAATTCTCATTTCAATTTCCATTTAACCCTAATTGAATTCTACCCTTCGTTTCTTATACAAAAATCGGCTCTACTAGGTGTGCAACCCCTTTTCATTTTTCTAATCATCTTTTCTACTTAATGATACCATAAAATCTACATTCCATTCCCTTGAACATTCATTTGGTTGAAGTAAGTAATAAAATTTTGCAACATTCTTGTTGGGCATTTCAAGAAAAAGAGAGGGTATTGTAAAATTTTTAATATTTGGATTACTTTCTTTCTCCTTTTTTTGAATCATTTCTTCATAATGCTGTGTATGCGTTTATGGTATTCATTTGTCAACAATGATTTTGGATTCACTCTATCATTGGAGTAGAGCTTTGATATGTGTTACTTCCCAACATTTTTTTCATTACCTGTTATTTATATTAATTAAAGTAAAACATAAGTTGATAAAAACATGTTTGGCTATTCTTTTCATTGTTCTACTATAAAACATACATTTGGTTTTCTTTTGTATAAACAACTTACATATCGTTTTCTACAATCCATAACAATATATATATATATATATATATATATATATATATATACATATATATATATACACACACACACACACACACACACACACACACGTTATGTACTGTATGATATTTGAAATTTGATTAATTTTTATGTTGAATTACAGTTATGGACACCATAGATGTAGTATGGATATCAATTTGTTATACAGGTGAATCTGAGCAATCAGTTAAAGGTGTATGGAAATGAAAATATGCAAGGAATGGCTCATTTGGCTTATTCTGAATCAGTGTCTAAAAGCTCACAGCATGGTTAAGGTGTACAATTTGCGCCATTCAAAACCTCTACAGGTCCACTGAAGGTGGTGTGGTGGTGTTGCTTGGGAATTTGGATACATGGATGATAGAAGTCAAAAACCTGCCAAATATGGATTTTTTCCACAATCTAAGTCATAAATTCTGTGGATTTCCTGTGAGTTTCAGTAGTAAAACAGAAGGAAACGCTTCTAAGAAGAATACCAGTGATCGTTGTCACAATTTCAGTAGCTGGTGCAGTAAGTGGTAGAACTTTTGTGATTATTGACACTGAAAATCCTGTTTGGATGCAGCATTTTCATGTTCCGGTTGCACATTATGCTGCACTGCAGAAGTGCACTTTGTGGTTAAAGTCAGTAATGTCGTGGGCTCAGAGATTATGGGGGCTGTTGGAATCCCGGTAGAGCAGACAATCTCAGGGCATAGAGTCGAGAGTACTTTTCTGGTACTCAATGAAAGTAGGAGGTTGTTTTGAGCCTGTACATTAAGTATACTCCGATGGAGAAAGTGTCCCTCTATCATGGTGGAGCAGTATCAGATCTTGGGTATCAGAGCGTGCCTGGTACATATTTTCTTCTTAGGAGAGGAGGAACACTAAAACTTTATCAAGATGCACGTGCCTTCCAAAGTTATTGCTGGCAAATTACACATCGTATCAGCATGGACATTGCTGGCATTATATTTATGATTCAATTAGTCAGGCTAATCGTTTAGTTTGCATTACAGGTTGGTCTGTTTACCACCTAGTTCAACTAGTTAGGGATGATGAGAATGCAACACATAGCACTTTGGGAGAGATGCTGAAAGTCAAGTCTCAAGAAGGTGTGTGAGGGTCCTGCTCCTTGTATGGGATGATCCTACATCTAGGAGCATTTTTGGGCATAAATCTGTATGAAGCAACTATGATGGTCTTCTTTTTGTTAAAAAATCGTTGAATATATGACACGTTACAGAGAAGTTGGTGTTTCCCTTTTATGAAATGATCTATATATAAAACCTTTAGCTATAGAGCTCAAGTTTAGTGACGTTGTTTTAAATGCAACTTGGTCTTCAAATGAGTGTTAGGCTTGGATCAAATTAAGGAATTCCTCGATTTTCTTCTGCATATCTAGGTAGATATGGTCATCTTCGAGCTTAATCCAATTAACGTGCAGCATACTTAAAACGAAGTCCTCCCATGACTGAACTCAAGGCCACATCTATCCACATTAACTTTCATTTTTTCATACTGATATGGCTTCTTCATTAGAAGCAAGGCCACTTTGATGTTCTCAAGGTAATGTTATTGGAATTCCCAATTTGAAGGGGTCATGGTGTTATTTTTAAGTACCTTGTTAATGTTGCTAAATTAAAGATAGGATATGTTAGCTATTGAACACATTATTTTAGTAAATAAGTTTGTCCTCTTCTTTAACAATTTAAGCTTTTAGATGAGGTGGTTCAACATCATATAAGAACAGAAACAAGCCTTGATTTCAATCATCACGGCCACCCACTATGAAAAGTTGTACACATGTTGGTCGTGATGGAGTTTCTTGTGTCTCTCTTGGCGGAGCACACGGGAACTCTTGACCCGTGTTTTGAGCATCCATAGGGTCTTAAATGCATGAAGCATATAATATCAATGGGAGAGCAGAACTGGAAACAATTTGCAGCTGATGAAATAAGTGAAATGAAAGGTCACCTCCTCAAATATCCAGTTGAAGTCGATCACACGGTATAGGTGAAGGCTCTTCCGGGATGTGAAACATTTCCAGACATGGGTGGAAAAATTTACTGTGATTCAAGAAAATGATAATGAGTGTCATGTGAGACGAAAGGTTCGATTTTTTCACTCTTTGCGGAGTAAACTTGCTCTTCCCTCTAGACCCAATAAGTGGAGTGGAGTGTAGCGCTTCACTCTCCGATTAATTACTTTGGCTTATTATTATGCTGATGTAGATTAGTAATACAAGAGCTATAAAATTAGTTGCAAATATTTACTCCTAAATTGTAAAAAATAATTTATAATGACATTAATTGAAATATTTCATGAAAACCATAAATTAGCATAATTTGTAAGGGAAAAAGCACAAATAATACTGTTTGGCTAATAATAAAATAAAACCCATAGACTTTCTAATTGGGGCAACTTACAAAAATACCCTTAAAATTATGGGTCTTTTGAAAAATCATAGAAAAAATTTTTTAGAAGTAAAAAATATGTGTAAAATTAAAAAGTGACACAATGTTACCTTTTTTTTTTATTATTATAAGTGACACAGTGTCACTTTTATACTAAAAATGTGCCATGCAATCTCAATGTTATTAAAAAGTGATGTTCGTCACTAAAAAAAATGATAGAAATTTGACTAAAAAAAGTGATAAAAATGATAGAAATTTAAAAAAAAAGTGAAATTTTTTTTAAAAAATAACACAAATTAAAAAAATTTACACAGATTTAAAAAAGTGATAAACACTTAAAAAGTGACAAAATTCAAAAAAAGTGACAAAACATCGAAATAGCATCATCCATTTGTACAGCACCAGCAATCATATTCTTAACATAATCAACCATGAACCTCCTCATTATGCATTTGACATTTTTTTACAAATAGCCACCGAATCTCAATAATTCTTCAAAAATTTTAAAAAATTTATTTCAGTTGTAATTGTTCTTCTAGTCTAATTTACAACCTTCTTGAAGCAATAATCTAAGAAATTTGTGTAACCTCCCAAATGACTATCCGGGCCGTCGTCAAATCACCCTCATTCTTCGAACACTTATGGACTTAGTAAAATTCCATATCAATTATATAGGAAAATTATAATTAAAGCGAGGAACTCTAAAGCTTGTTAGCCTAGTTCAAAACGTTGACTTTAAGATGAAAACATAATAGTATGGTATTCATACCTAAGGCCATCTCCAGCGCTGCACCAAAATTTGCATCATATTGTACTAAATTTTGCATCAAATATTGCACCAAACAAAAATTCTTCTCCAACTATTACACCAAAACTTACACAAAATGAACAGTGCATTATTATTTTAGTCATTCTTTCGATTTTTGACAATGTATTTATTTAAAAAAATTATTTATTTATTTATTTTATAAGTATATAAATTACTAAATCATAACTTCGTTAAATTAACAAATATATTGATTATTAAATTATTCACGTGTTTTATATATTACGTTAAATTGACAAAAATAATTGATTATATTATTAATTTTATGATAAAGAGATGGCAATTTGAACCGTCAAAATCGAAAACCGCGGTTAACCAAACCGAATGGGGCGAAAAAAATCGAACCGATGGTGCAATGGGGCGGATATGGTTTTGATTTTAATGAACCGGTTTGTAATGGTGCGGGTATGGTATTTACGTCGTCGAACCGATTACCCGCTAAAAAAAAAAAATTAAATTGATAATAGGCTTTACACTACTTTTCTATCCAAATCAAAACAAAATCCCTCCCCTCCTCATTACATCTACCTGACTCATTCGGTCAGTCTACTTACCATTAGCCCATAATAGTATTAGTATGACAGTATATAAATGCAAACCCTACTCTCTACAACCACGAACTCACGCACGGCTCCATTGCCTCTACGGTCCAAATCGTCGTCGCCTCTGAAAATTTGTTACATTTGTTAGTCATTCTATTACTGCTAATCATATAAAAACAGGGTTCGATGTTTTTCTAGACGTGCCAATATTGCCAAGGATGAATAGGAATCAACTTTGAATACTGATCTATGCTAGTAAGACTTGTAGGGAAGAATGCATCAAGTAACTTCGATGCACAACAATTAAAAATGAAGGAAAAGTTTAGTATTATTATATTTATAATATTGTTTGTTAAATTTGTATTTTACAATTGAAAATTAGGATAATGTTTGCATTTACGTTTGGAATATTGTTTGATAATGTTTGTATTTTCGTTTGGAATATTGTGTTTTTGTTTTCATTGACTTTTTTCATAAATTGTTTTATATCAATTTGACGGATGAACCTATAAAAAATAATTTATTTTCGTGGTTATTAATCGAACCGAACCGTGCTGAACCGATATAAAAATCGAACCGATTTACGTGGTTATGGTGCGATTATGGTATGGTCAAAAATTTGGTGGTGCGGTTATGGTTTTGACCGAACCGACCCATAACCGAACCGTTGCCAACCCTAGATAAACAATTATGTTAAATTTACAAAAATAATAAACTTTAATAATATAAACTTTGCGTTAAATTAAACTTTAAACATAAACTTTACGAATTAAACTTTACGTTAAATTAATAATTACGTTAATTATTATTGATTATATTATTAAAAATAATAAACTTTAATAATATAATTAATAGTTTAATTAATTAATTATCATTATTATTATTATAAAACGAAAATGACACAAATATTCTTAATAATTATCTTTGAAAAATGAAAAAAAGGACAAAACAGACATTATACATTTGCGGCAAAAAATAGTGCAATGAATATGATGCAGCACTATTTATGTTGTACCATTTTGCACAAAAATTTGATACAATGGTTGGAGAAAGTTTGCACAAAATTTTGGTGCAATAGGGCATGCATTGGAGATGCCTGATGTCAACATCATTTGGGGAATAACATTGACTCTTCAGTGATATTAATGGGCTGCGAGCCATATCTGGACTTAGCCTTGTTCATTTGATGCTAAACAAAACTGCTTATCTCTGTGGTTCTAACTGGCCGGAAATGGTTGAGATTCTGGCTCCCAACAGCTTGTAAATACACAATTTCTTGATGAATTTCCAGTACCGACCGTAAGGTGAGAAAGCAAAAGAAGAATTATAAGGGAGAATTTTAATGGCAGTGGAATGCTTGCGGGAGGAGAAGGTGAGTTCTTTTGTCTTACGGAATTGTTTGGCTGGTTCAGCAGTGGAAACCACAACGCACGGCATCGAACCAAGGCGGAGCTGAATTAAGGGACCGTAACCCACCTCCAACTCGTGAAAATGTTTGAGGAAAGTTCTGGAATGACGCTATTGGGCCTTGTGTTGAGGTTTTGGGACAATTTTGGCGGCCGGGTGAATTAAGGCGTATTAATTACAGTTGATAGAGGTTTTAATTTATTTTAAGTGTATTAATTTAATTTGTCTATCTTTTAGAGTACCCGACCTAATTTTCTCTTCTGATTTAGAGCTTGTTTGGTAGAGATTTTGTTAATTAATTTTTTGACCGTTAGAGATAAAGTAGGCTCTACCTGTGAGAGAAAAATTCAAAAATGACGACTGAAATAATGAAATAACGATCAAAAAATTAATTTTAATTCAAATTTTAAGTTGTACCAAGCATGCTCTTAGAGCACAAATCAACAGTTTTTGGGCTCAAACGACTAGTCCAAGCTTGGATTTATAATCATGCATACATATAGGCTCTGTTTGAGCCACATTCTTTAAAAAAAAATATTCTTGAACAGTGATTTGACATTATTTCAGTTACGTATTATTTAATAAAATAATATCACACAAATTCAAAAATTTCTTTATTTTTTAATCACACATGTTCCATCAATACACTATTTAAAAATGCATTTTCATTCCAATAATATGACTCAAACAAGGGCATAATTGTGAAGAAAAGTTTTCCTTTCCGATTTATCTACCATACGATTTTTTTGAAAAAATTTGTAATTATAGATATTAACTTTACTGTTTAAAAATCTAAAAGTTCGCCATTGAGAGTAGCGTTACCATGCACTTGAATTGATCGAGCAAGCTAGAATTGACATACATGAAACTTAATTATTAGTAAGAAAAGTGTCGTAAAGAGAAACAAAAGTTCATAGATGCTAACTGAACATCCATATTGAGTAGTTCCCACACTATTATGTCACAATGGTAGTTGGAAACTTACTTGATTGGACTAATAGCAAACTTGTTCTATTCAAATAAACCAACGAGAAGGAAATACTTCACTTAGCAACAAGACCTATTATTTTATTTATTAAAATCATGATTACAAGGAATTTATATATTTTTTCCAATAAAAAATCCAACAGGTCGTTGTAGTATAGTGGTGAGTATCCCCGCCTGTCACGCGGGTGACCCGGGTTCGATCCCCGGCAACGGCGATATCTTCGTTTTTGTGTTATTTATTTATTTACTTTTTTTTAATGTAAATTTCTTACAACTGTAGAATGACAAGTTTGACCTTTTACATGGTCCGTTTCTTGAGGCTGCCGCATAAGGGGTCAGGTCAAGGACATCATCAAATTGCACGGATTCCAATATAATTAAAGATAAAAATGCATTAATTTCAAATTGTTTTAAAGTAAATTTTGTCCTTGTTTGAGTTTCATTTTTCGTGAAAAAATACATTTTTCAACAGTATTTTAACATTATTTCAATCACATATTTTTTAATAAAATAATAATATACACAAATTTCAAAATTTTCTGATTTTTTAACCATACATTTCTCATCTATACACCATTCAAAAATTCATTCTCACTCTCAAACAAGGGCAAAGCTTTCAAACTCATACTTTGAAGTGAAAAAATGCTACTTAATTTAAAGATAATTCTTACAATATGTTTTGTCTAAACTTAAAAGTTACCATTAAGTAATTTTTATTTTTATTTTATTACCGTAACTTCATAATATTGCTTTTGTGACCGATGTTCTTTGTATATGAATATCCAAGTCTTTGGTTCATATTAAAAATGTCATTTCATTATTATAATTATTTGTTCTTACTTTTCTCCATTAGCATATATCCATTTAAAAACCTTGTGCAATATTGCAATGCACTTGATAAGTTGTTTGGCTAACTTTTTGCTTTGAAAGATAGAATAAAGTCATTTAATCAGGTTTATAAATAGGGAGTGAAAAAAAAAGTCTTAAAACGTTTTTACATAGATAATGCACATCCATTGGCATCACCTATGGTGGTTCGATCACTTGATGTGAAAAAAGATTCATTTCATCCACTTGAATATAGAGAAAAGATTCTTGGTCCTAAAGTACTATATCTTAGTGCCATTAGAGCATTAACTTATCTTGCAAATTGCACTCGACCCACATAACTTTTTCTGTAAATCTCCTTGCAAGATATAGCTCAACACTAACTCAAAAATATTGGAATGGTGTTAAACATATTTTTCGTTACCTAAAGGGTACTATTGATTTTAGATTATCTTATTCTAAAAAATCGGGATCTGCTTTAGTAGGATATATAGATGCAGGTTATCTATCTGACCTACATAAAGCTAAATCACAAACATGTTATGTATTTATACGTGGAGGAACAACTATATTATGAAGATTTGTGAAGCAATTATTGACAGCTACATTCCCTTAAATCATTCTGAAATTATTGCAATCCATGAAGCAGGCCAAGAATGTGTGGTTGAGAAACATAACCCATCATATCCAAGCATCATACGGATTAACTTCAACAAAGGATAATCCAACAATTTTGTATGAAAACAATGCAGCTTTTATTGCACAACTCGGATGATCCTATATCAAAGGTGACAGGACAAAGCATATTTCTTCAAATTCTTTCATACACATGAGTTTTAAAAGAATGGTTACATCAATATTCAACAAATTCGCTTAAGTGACAATGTGACCGATTTATTTATAAAAGCACTGCCAACATCTACATTCAAAAAATTAGTTCATGAGATTGGAATGCGTCAACTTAAAGATTTTCAGTGATCAGCATTAAGGGGAGTAGCCGTACTCTTTTTGTTTCGCTTAGTTTTTGTCCCAATGGGATTTCCTATCAAAGTTTTAATGAGACAATATTTATTTTTAGTATTCCAAAATAACTGTACTCTTTTTCTTTCGTGTTGATTTTTTTCCCATTAGGTTTTTATCAAACAAGGTTTTTAACAAGATAGATATTTTGCAATATGTCATTCAAATGAGAGTGTTGTAAAATGAAAGTTTATTAGGATTTAGAGGTGAATGACAATTACACCCCTACAATCCTAGAAATAACTACTGTTGTATCCCTAATTCTGCCCTATAAATATAGGACTTTGGTTCTTAATAAAATACACACAAGTCTATTGACTTCTCTCTGCTCTCTTCTCTTTTCTTCACTTTTATAACATGCTTCTATTTTTACACAGATTAAAAATGAAATGTTCAAGCAAGCTCGAATCAACGTAATATAAAACTTATTAATCAGGAAGTGCCATGGACATCAAGAAATGTTCATGCATTCTAATTGTACCCCTCAGTCACTGCTGATGTCTCCCAATGAGGTCACTTCATCCATCTCTTCACCTAAATGAGATCATCAAATTTGAATTGCTAAGAAGTTTAGATAGGTCTGTGATGACAGTATATGCATGACAAGTTCCAAGGTTGCTCAAATCAATTTCATTAGGATAATAGAATGATCTCTCAAATTTTCATTTATAAGAGAGCTAAAAAGGATAAATCTTATTAAAATTACAGAAATTATCTGCCAAAGAAACTATATATAAATATCAAACAAATATGGAAACACAGTTATTCTTCTTATGTGCTAACAGCAGCTGAACTCGAGCCGATTTCATGGCATCCCATTATACTCGCACATTTTTAGTGACCATTGGCAATTGTGCCATTCTCGTAACCTTTCTTGGCATAGAATCTTCGATACATGGAGTCGACTTCTGTCAGATAGTACGTGCCAGGAGCAAGAAGGCTACAGTCCTTGCTTGTGACGAAGTCCTTTGCTCCGTACCTATGCTCCATCAACTTCATTGTTTTGACGAATTTTTCTGGAGGGAACTGCAGAGAAGATTGTTTATCACGAGTTCGTCTACCACAAATAGAAAGCATGTTTAGATAACCTCTTTTTTTTTTCCTTTTACTTTTTAAGTAAAAAAGTTTACCTACTGTCAAATTAAGTTACATATTTTCAACTTTGACCAATAAAAAATGACTTGTTTTAGAACTTACGAGTAAATTAACTTTTTAAGCTTAGCCAAACATGCTCCTTGAATCCAGTTACAAGTACTTTAATTCACAGTTGTGATGGTAGAATCCAACCATCAAGTGAACTTAATTGAACAAAGAATGGCATACCTCATCCCTTGATTTCAATTTCTCTGAAACATTCATGACAGTTTTAATGTTTGACAGGCTAAACGGATGTTGAGCCTCGTTAAGACTGAGTGAAAACATTGTTGCAGACAAACCACTGCCATAGGAGAACAATATCACCCTCTGTCCAGCCTGAAGAAAGAAATTATATTAAAAACTAGCAACATTTGCTATTTGTAGAAAGTGATTAAGCCGAATATTCAAACAAGTAAAAGTTCTGAGCTTTACCAGTGTGCTACTTTTGTTGTGGAGGAGGGATGCAAATGCAGCATATATTGATGCAGTGTACATGTTCCCAACTTGCTTTGGTATTAGAGTCGATGGCTGCACCTTTGTATCATAAAATACCTTCGCGACTTGCTGGGATGCCTGTAGATCCATTAAAATCAGCCCAAAGATGTTTTACCGTGGCTAGATAATTTTGAAAAATAAATATTTAACTCGAGTTACTAACTAACCACGTGAATATTAAAATAGGATGATAATGAAAGAAATGCGCTATAAGGGATTAATACCTTCTCAAGATCACGACTTTGGTAGCTTTCATCGATAGTTAAAGATGAGAAAGAGGCCAGCTTTTCTTTAGCAGCCTCATCGATGGAGCTACAAAAATATAAAAGAAACAATTACTATATGGAAGCCTAATAAGTGCATGTTTGGTATGCAAGGACACAATTCGACAATATAAAGAATGAGATTTTTAACTTGTTTTACTTCTTTAATACTGTTGAGTTCTATCAAAACCTTTATATCAAACATAAAATGAAAGTACTAGAGCTTCTCTAAGAAAAAGAAAATATCTACCTGGCGTTTCTTGAAAAATCATTGAACAATAGACGAGCAAAGCTCTTTTGTACAAGCTGCATTTGAAGTAAGATGTTAGCATAAATTTATTTCAATAGATTAATTATTTTAAACACGAACAAGTACAAAAATGACTTCATCTCACATAAAAAATGCGCCGTTGTTCCCACTAATTACCTTGTTATAAGGAGAATGAAATACAAAGTAGTCAGCATCAGCAACTGAAAACTGCTTGCCCTCCAATTTTTCATACCTATTACATACAACATGTTTAGAAACCTGGAAACAGGAACAACCCGAAGGATTAAATTTAGAGAGATCAGTGTTTCAGCAGGAGTTTACTTGGTACAAAAGCTATTGTAACAAGAATCGAGAGCCATGAGATAACAGGTCTGGGAAAGCTTGCCATCAACAACCTACAAAAACAGTTCAGATCATACAAGACCCAAAAAGAATTGGAATACAAAGAAGAAAATTTGAAGTAGTAGTAAAAAAAATCTGAAAGACCAATCACAAGTTATTCACGTGTGAAACTTGAAATTAGATGAAAGCAAAAGGGGTTAAACGGAGGATTACTGGATATTCACTGGCAAGATTCGGCTTGTAAAAATCATAGACATGACTCATATGACTCGCTCTGAGCTTGCTTTCAAATACAATAGGAGCATTAGGCCCTATTAACATGGCAATAGCAGCAGCTCCTCCAGTTGGCCTAGCAGGTCCTTCTGCATATACCTATTAAAAGAATCTTGCTGGTAAGGGAATCAAATATAAAAACAATGACGCATAGGCCATGTTTGCTATGCAACACTAGATAGGATTATGAAGTATAATGGAAAATATTTTTGCTTCTTTTTTCCGTTAATATAGCCAGTATTGTCCAAACCATTGCAAACATGGGAATAGTCAATTTAAATTTACTAGTATATTCTATAGGCAAGGAAACATCTTTTGTCCAGCAGAGAAGAAGAGTTTAAAACAATAAGTTTTAACGGAAACAACACGAAGTATACAGGATGCCAGTTTTTCGAAAGAGAGAGAGGACTGATTGACTTTGGTATGCCACGTGGTTGATCAATGAATAATAAGAATTATGATGGTCATACCGCACTATCTGTGCAGACTACAAGTCCATAGCGTCTGTCCCATGAATTACTTTCTACCCAGTTGACACAGTTGAATAATGCTGCAGTTCCTCCATAGCATGCGTTTGTTGAGTCAACACCTTCTATGTCAGTATTTCCATGTTTCTGGTTGTTTAACATTGAGAAAGAATAGGATAAATGTATGTTAGGACAAATCAAATATAAAAAATCAGCAAGGAAAGATGGTGACATCAGAAACATGCTGTCGACATCTGTGCTCACACATATGGAGGTCTATAACAAGCCTCACCAAGAACATGCATGGCTAAGCTTAAATATTATACTTATATAAAGTAAATAAGTTAGTTTTGGAAAAATAATTTTTATTGCTCAAATTTAGAAATAAGTAAGTTAAGCTAAGAATACATTTAAAATAAGTAACTTTTTCCTACTTAAATTTTAAACATGTTCAAACATGTTTGGAAACTATAATAGACCTAATTTGACTATCCTAATAATAGCTAATTTGAATAAAATAAATATGATAAAGCTTTCGAAAACTTGATTTCTTCGCAATATATTTCAATATCATTCCAGTCATTACATTCTACCTCCCTTGAAACAATATTGTTGTTGAGGCACAAAATCTTTAAAAAAAATATACTATAATTGACAAATGATTTCCGTAAAAAGAAACCTTTTAAGTTTTACCTTTCATTAAGCTTAGTCAAACAAGTTCTCATACTCATCAAGAAACTCTTTTGTCATTCTAACTGACACAGAACACACAATGCATGATTTTATACTTGAAAAGTGTTGTAAGAGTGCTCTGCTTAAGTTAGCTTTAGCTGTTTCCCATAACTTATGCCTTTGCTATAACTTGATTTGTGTGAAACAAACTTCCAAAAGCAAACACTGCTCATATTCGATCATCCATGCTACAAAGGACATGTTTCCATGACTCATGGTCGACCACAAAACAGAACAAACTATGTACCAGTTCGAAAAAGCTAGATTAAATACCTCAAAGATTGGCATCAAGAATGTCTTGATGGATTTGCTCTTGTCTAGCACAGTCTCACTTCCAACTTCCAGACGACCAATTTGTTTTGGGTCTACCCCGTACTTCTCAAGAAGTGAAGTGACAGCTGTCATACTGAAGATCAAAGTGTTGACCAATGCTAAGATACATTTAAAAAAATAAAATAAAATAAAAACTACTGGTCTAAGGATCAAAAACAGTATATGAATCAAAACTTGTCTTTGAAGTTTCTTTTAAAGAGGTGTCTAGGACAGCAACCAACACAAATCGAAAAGGCCGAATTTTGCGTTCAAGGAGATCAGGAAGCTTGCCAGTCCGTTTCTGAAAACAGAACTCCATATCATGTGAAACACTTCAATATTTCTTTATGCCTCTCTGTTTTAAAATCTTGTTTTGAAAGGATATTTCAATATAGCAATACTTGCAGAAACCAAAAAGAGTCCATATTCATGCAATGGTATGTAAAATGAAGATCATGTATAAAGTACAACAGATCATCAATCTGATATAAGACTGGTACAAAATTCCAGGAAAAAATTAAATCACCTTCTTTGATCCTCATTTTTCTGAACTGTAAAAAGGTGTCAATTCATTTTTAGTTGGCTCTTTTTAGAACAAGAAAATTTCAAATTGAATTTAACAGTCAACTTCCACGATAAATTTCAGGCAGTAAAACTTAAAAATCCAACAATTATGTGATTTAAATGGTTAAATTCAAATTATGGGATAAAGCCAAAAAGACTCCTAAATTCACTTCAGATGCTGCGCGAAGTGTTACATAACAGACTTAACATCAAATTACGGGAGATTTCGTGACAGTTAAAATTTGATATCTCATACTTCTAATAAGTTGTTTAATAGTTGGTACGTTGTATCAATTGAGCACGAGTAATAATTGTCAAATGAGATTAATGAAAGCAAAAACTATTCTACTATTAAAACTAGATGCAAAATTGAGAGCAAGATTATAATAATCTCATTTAGACTGATTACCTCATTGAAATGACATCTTCTACTTCATCACAAAATGCCATGCAGTCTTGCCCAAGCCCAATTGTGTATTTCCCTTTGCTTACTCCATCATGAGCCTCCAACACTTCCTGTAGCAAATATTATTATTATTATTTATTTTTTTATTTTTTATTTTTATTTTTTGGGTATAAAAATGAAATCATTATACCTATTTAAATTACAAATGCAATAGTAATAGTTGTACTTAACAGGAATCTTAAGCATTACAAATTCTTAATCAAAACCATATAAAGAAATGTTTTCATATAAAACAGCAAACCATATCACCCATAAATCATTAAAGGGCAACAAGATCTTTCCCCCCATAAAAAAAAAATATATAAATCAATAAATTGAAGGAAAAAAATTATGCTAAATGAAGCTAAAAAATGAAATCTTGAAATTAAAAATGTACAAGATCTTGAAAATTATGTACACAGAATGATCGATTTTTCATCAATCGAAATATAAAATCCAAGATTTGACAAAAGACCCAGAAAAAATGAATCAAGAATAGAAACTATATCTGGGTTGTGCATGCAAACAATTATATCAGTGCTTAAATGTGTAAAACAAGATTTTACCTGCTGGATGCAAGTTGGAGGGAAATAAATTTCCATTGCAAGAATTCCAACATTTTTTGGCGGTGAACCCATTTCTCCTTTATTAACCTTAGCAAAAACAAAAAGGGATTCCTAGGAACAAAAACAAACGAGAGGATTGAAAAATAAAAAGGTTGTCCAAAGGAAATGAAATAATCTGTGTTTTCTGGGTTTGTGTGATTAAAACTAGTTAATAAAGTTAGAGCAAGAAAGGAGGGGAGTGGAATCCAGGAAATTCGCAGAGAGGGATCAAGAGTATGCCAAAGGATGCTGGGGCTGATGAATGGCTGTCACATGTTATTGGGTTCCCGTTGAGTTGTGTAATTTATAGGAAGCAATGCAAGATTTGAGATTCCATTTCAGCCTCCATAGTAGATGGACAAGAAAATTAAACCACCCACCCCACTCACTCCATGTCACCAAAAGAAAAAAAAAATTTAAATTAAATAAAACCTTTTTACAATCCAATTTGATAAAAATTTGTTGACGGGGTAATTTTTCAAAGAAGGGTTAATTGTATTGGATTTTTATTTTTCAACTTCAGCTTGTTTCGATAAGTTGTGGTGGACTGACGATTATATGCATTTCGTAATCACTTATTAAATGCAAATACAAACAATAATGAAAAATTGACTTGTGAAAAATAATGAAAAGGATGATTCGGTTGAAAAAAATGGCTTTACTTAATTTCACAGGTGACTTAACCGAGTTGTTATTAATGGTATTGATTTGTGCTTGAATTTCAAAATAGATTATGACGGTAAAACAATTCATCATAGATTTATCACTTGTCGTTGTTTCTTAATTTATTGAATCTTGTTCAATCCATCAACTCATTATTTTAAAAAAATGTTTTAACTAGTTATATTTATATATGAGGATTTAAATAGATGTATGGTGGTCTATATTTCAATTTAAAAAATAGTATTTGAGTCCTTGTACCCATATTTTTCATAAATGTTGAGATTAATAACATTTATTTATTATTTTTAATCTACCCAATTGGTCAGGATTAGGTGGGGCCTTTTGATGGAACATTTTTAAAAAGTCAAGTTAGGAGGGGGAGTATAAAATGGACATCTAATTTTGACTTCAAAACTTTCAACAATTTCATGCCAACCTAATTTTAAAAAGATAGTTAATGTTATTAATAACAAAAACTTTTCTACGTTCATGTGATGTCCTACTACAAAAAGTTTATTTTTTTTAGTTGAACTAAAATTAAATATGTTATTATCTATTTATTGAGGTTTCATATTCAAAAATCTCTTGATTTACGTTTATTTTTAACTCATTGAAATATTTAATTAATTAGTACGTCAATTTTTTATTTTTTTTACGAGTACTTGGATATTCCAATGAGTAGTCACTTGTTAAAACATCTTCCTAGCACCTAGGACTAGTGATGGCAAAAAACCCGACCTGCACTGATGAGGCGCCACCTCGAATGGGGCAAACCCCCCCGCCTGAACGGGTTGACGGGCGGGCGGGGCAAGGTGGGGCACCCCGTCAAGGGGCGCGGGCGGGGACATGATTAATTTTTTTTTCTACAATTGTGCACGACAATTGTATGTATTTCGAGGCTTATTTTATGCATTCGAAAAAAGAAAAATAGATTCGACATAATATAAATTGTCATGGAGTCCAATATAGAATAGTAATATACCACTATACTATATGTGAATATTTAAATGTTCAAAAAAGTTCATTCATTTTCATATATTCGTATCTATCACAGAAATATAGTCGAATCATATATAAGAGAAAGTTTGACATTATTCGAGAGAGATTGTTAAATAAAACACGAACATTGATTCTTCAAATCCAACCGAGTTGTCAAAGTGTGAAATTAAGGTTAAAAAAGGATGATTGCATGAGAATTCGAGATCCTAGTTCGTTTGTCATACATTATAACATATTAACTTACATTCAACACAATTTGCATTTAGCTTAGTTAATTTACTCATGATTGCATAAGTAAATTATTTTAGTTATTATTTTATCACAAACAAATACATCACATTACTATCGTTTCAGTTAAGGTCGTGATAAGTAAAATTGAACTAAATCAATCTCTATGAGATGATACTTCAACTTAAATTCACTTTATTACTTGTTAACGAATCGTAAATTTGTGATAATTTTAATTCGAAAGATATTTTCGTAAACAATCTATATTTATTTTTAACTTACTCAAATATTTAGAAGATTACTACATCGTTTTTTATTTTTGAGTACGTAATTGAAGATTCGTAATGATTAATGACTAATCCAACCTCTTGCTTACAAGGCTACGCTATTCAAATATTCTACTAAATGGATTAATTAGTCTTATCAACAGTAAAACTTGTAATTATATTCATAATTTGGAGTGGGATTCTACCAAACCCTTTTTCCCATTGTTGAAAAGTTCAAAGAGATTCTCATTCTCATATCTGTATCTATCCATCACAAAAAAATAATAAATAAATAAATAAATTCTATATTTGAACTTGTTTGGAGAAAAAAGAATTTTTATATTGAAATTTTAATTTTAATATATACCTTTACATTCATGTCAAGCGGGTAAATCGTGTACCATATATTCTCACTTGGTAGAGTCGTGGAAACATTTTTTAACCAATTTTTCTTTTACTTTTCCTAATACCAATAATTATTAAAAAAAACTCAATAAACATAATTGAGCGAGCCAAGGTCCTCTCTCTTATTCTTTCTTTCTTCCTTTTTTTTTTTTTAAATAATTTTTTTAAATGAGTTTAAGTTGACTTTGTTTGGAAGGTGGAGAGGTTTGACACAATTGCAATTTGGACTTCTGTTCAACAGACGGCATAAGTTGATGAAATAACAATATTTTTTTCAAAGTTAGAGATTGTGTCACATTATTATACATAATTATTAAGTATAACTTTAAAACATATTTAATAAATAAAATTAAATGATATTAAACATGACAAGTGACGAAGTTATTATATGTAACTCTTCTTTAATTTTAATTTTTAAATTTATTTCAATGTACCAAACATTTCTTAAAAGTTATAAGCACTTTAGGGACGGCTCCAGAATTGGATTCAAGATCGGACTACAAAATTTCGAACCAGGCTGCTACCCGAGAAAAAAAATTTTACACATAAAAAACTGTTTTTTAAAAATAAAAATGAAAAATACCTTTGGACCTGAGTTGGAGGAGGGGACTACAGCCCAGCGCCCCCCCTCCCCCTAAATCCGTCTCTGAGCACTACGTACTACAACTTTATTTGTGAGAAATCAATAGAAGCACATAACGCGAAAAGTCCTAATGTGCCTATTTTTATTAATAGTAACACGTTATATGAATTTTTCAGTAAAAAAAAATTTACTGCTTAAAAATTATTTCATCTTTTAAAAAACAATCGATTTAAATGTGACAATTTTGTTTATTTTTTGCTTTATGGGCGAAGACTATAAAGAAGCTCCAAAAGTCAAAATGATGTGCCTAAGGGGAATGCAGGAGTAATGAATTGATAAAAAAATTTGCGTCTATTTTGACTATTATTTTGTTTCTTATAATTTATTGCAAAAGAGAAAACTATGTAAAAATCTATGCAATAAACTTCACTTTCTCGTAGCATTTGACAAAATTTAAATTTAATATTTTGATTTTGGTTGGATCAAGTTTTCCTAGAGCATAAGTTCGTTCACGTGTGATACCAAATTATTTTCAACATCTAAAGTCCGACTTTGCTAAAAATAAAAAAAAATAAAAATATTCTATTATAAGAATGTTAGCCCAAACGGCACAAGTACACAAAATATCACTAAAATTTTAGATTTGGTGGAGAACTCGAGTATTTGCGTGTAATATTATTTTCTTGAATAATGTGTGATTGAAATTATGTTAAAACACTGTTCAAGACTTCATTTTCTCCAAAAAAATGGGGATCAGGGCTTAAAGTAAGCCCTTTAGAGTCAATTGATAGGTGTGATTTTCTATAGGGTTAGGTATACTTGAAAGTACTCTAGTCGAACTCGAAATTTAAAAAATTAAGCCCTTGTTCGGGTTTCATTTTAATGAGATTTTGAGAAAAATGTACCTTGAAATTATAATTTTTTTGGGAGAATGTGTGATTAAAAAAGAAAAAAAAAATTTAATTATGTGTAATATTAATTTATTAAAAAATGCGTAGCTAGAAAAGGAAAAAAGATGTATTAAAATTTTAATGTAACCCAAATAGGGCTACTTATTGTGTGTTTTAGTTGAGAATATAAAGGAACGAGATTGTACGAGGTCGCCGACGTATTAATATGACCCGTAACTTCAATTTCCTGCTAATCAATAGCCGTTTATTTTGGAGGTGCATCATGAATACTGAAAATTGCAGTCGTGGTCCTCTTTCTTTACGAACTTTGATCCCTATTTAATTTTTTTGAGGCACATACATCCTTAACATTTAATTTAATCCTTATATGAGTCGGCTCTAAATATGGTTTATTCATGTTTCATATAGAATATGTACAAGCCTCCCTCGATCGAATATTGACCCAGTACACACTTCACGTAATCTATTTTCAAATCAAATATTTGATTCGTATATAATTTTATTAAGATTAATGCTATTTAATTTCACTGGGATTATAACCTCCTTAGCCTATGTGATGATATTGTGACATTAAATTATAAATGAAATTAATTTCACATTTTATTTAATCTATCACATAACACCACTAGATTGGGGTTATAATCCAGTGAAGTTAAATAACATTCATTATCCTTTTATTAATAATGACTAAGTTTGACTTGAGTTCTTTTTTCCCTATTAATTTGATGCCATATTAATACTTTCTCCAAAGATCTACACCCTGTTTCGCCCTTATTATTTTTAATTATAATGGCTGGAATAGTATATTTTTTGAAGAATGGATGGTTGAAAAATAAGGAAATTTTATTTATTTATGTATAATATTATTTTATGAGAGGTTGTATGATTGAAATAGGAGAGAGAAAAATGAAATTTAATTTAATGGGAGCCAAACGAGGGCCTAATATAATATTGGTTAAATGGTCGTACGAGAAATTTTTATTTCTTAAACAATGCGATTAATTTTAGACTATTACCTTTGTTGAATGTCATTTTCTACTAAATTAATAAAGAGGGTTCATGTGATGTCCTACAACAATTTTTTTTTTTTTTTTTAGTTGAACTCAAATTAAATATGTTATTATCTATTTATTGAGGTTTCATATTAAAAAATCTCTTGATTTACGTTTATTTTTAACTCATTGAAATATTTAATTAATTAGTACGTCAATATTTTATTTTTTTTACGAGTACTTGGATATTTCAATG